GTCGGTATTCAAGTGACAGCGACAATCTCGCTTTAAATGGGCGTTGCTGGCTTCGTCGAGTCTTTCAACGCAACAAACTGTTGCAGTGTTTTGTTTAACAAACAAGAAAAGACTTTCAGTCTGTGTTCCTGAGACTGGATCCTGGGCTGATCCTGCGCTTCCAGAGACTCACGTTGAAACATTGTAATGCATTAAGTGAAGATCCTGTCACCTTCCTTTTGGTGTTAAACATCTTGTGTGCTCAATTCATTGCAGTATTTTCATAGCACTGAAAATTTTGCAGTTGATATAATGCATGATTTGTTGAGGGTGTTGTACCCAGTATGAGCTAAAGCTTTTCTTTCAGTACCTAATGGAAAATGGTTACATCTCTTTGAATGCACTGTCAGGACAGGGTACAGAGTTTTAACTATGGTTACCTGGAACGTAAAAAACAAATCCAAGTGCTTTAAAACTGGATGACCAACAGCAAGCACTTAGGTTTAAACGCCATTCAGTCATTGTGTGTTCTCCGCAATACCCACTTATCTTTTGGCGCTGTGGTTGAAAGAGAAAAATAAGTATTGGAATCTTTTGCTTCCTTTGTTGCAATGTTACAATATTTTTTTTCTCCCCTATCCTGACTGATGGAATGATAAGTTACCTAAAACATTTGATCTGTGACCACCACAACATGTTCAAAGTGTTGTTTCCTGATAAGAAATTGATTCCCAAACACACTTAATGATTCACTATCCGAATATGTATTAAAAAAATGGGCCCTCTTATCCATACTGTGGTGTATGCGATTCGAAGCAAAACATAATTTTTTTAAAAGGTTCTGTAAAAAATTTCAAAAACCTTACAAAATCTCTTGTTAAGCAACACCAGCGGCAAATGGCTTTTATTATAAAAACTATTATTTTAAAAGGTTTGAGATTGGTCCTTTAAAAATGAAACCATTAAATAGCTTGGAAGTGCAAGAATCACTGTGTCAGATGTTGCATTTAGATGCATTTTCAGAGGTTTCAACTACAAAGATGGGGTCAAAAATTATGGCACTGAATACCAAATTGATCTAATACATATGCACTGGAACATTCATGACCTACCTGATGTTCATGAAAATACGCAACATCATCATTCATGAGCGCGTGCTTTCATAATTGGCTTGCCACTGTTCCACACGCTTACTGAGATCACTTTCATGCCTGACTGTATAGAGACCAAAGCAATGAACATTGCTGTTATTTGTATTGACCAGCTCACCTACGTTAACCCTTTGATACGGCAATACTTCTAATGAAATGAGAGGGCATACATTGTTCCATATTGCTGGTGTATTTTTGAAATGTATTTAAAATGCTTTTGTGTCAAAAAGCATTTGTTTGTATATGTTTGAAAATAAATCTTGGTTTCAAAAAACTTTAGCCTACTTTATTTTTTTAGTAATTGTTATACTTTATTAGAGCTTTATTTACACTTTATATTGTTGATATATGGAGTAAACTTTCATAGTTAATAAACTATTCTGTGGAGAGTTAATATTTAACACATGCAAGTGTTGGAAAAACTAACACTGGTAGTGTTATGAAAGAGTTACCCATTTTAACCCCTTCGCATATAGGAGTTAATAATTACTCTGGAATTAAGTGTAAGAAACCAACTCTTTTAAAAAGAGTTAAATAACTATGTGGTGTGGACCCATATAGACACTTGTCAAGTGTTGAAATCAAATCTGACTAGTTTCCATTTGGGATGGGCTTCATTTTGCTGTGTATCCAATAATAACGAGGAACACATTACCTAATGCTCTTAAGCAGTATTAGAGATGCATTTTCAAATAGTCAAAAACTTCACACAGGCCCAAATATAGAGAAACACTCATTTGTCCGCAGCCCTTTCCAGCCATTCTGAGCCTATTGTTCACATCCATTACTTCAAATAAAAGGTTTTCACATTGCATATTTCCAGCTTCCTTATACATACTGTTATTATTAATACAAAGTAATTAACCACACACATCTATTTAAAACAAGTAGATTTCCCTGATAATTGACATGCTGAAAATCTTAAGAAGAATGTCCCCTCCCCCAGCTCTCTCGTCCCTGTCATAAAAGCTGCTTCCATTTCATATAGAGTAATAAAACATGTTTAAGCTAATTTCTCCACAATGTTTGTAGCCATTTAGTACCCACACATGAAAGAATAAAAACAGAGGTATAGTTGAACAGTAATCACGCAGCACATATATTTACTGCAATGAAAACACACACATTTGCCCTAAGCATGTGTAACGCACCCTCTTCTTTTATGAGGGAAACATTCCAGAGTTTTGGAGCTATCCCCAAACAAGGATGTCCCCTGCTCACATCCCTTTCTAAACACAAAGACTTCACCTCAATATATTGGGGAGGAAAAATATACTTTGTCCCTTTAAATTTAACACACATGAATATATATAAAGTGACATTAAAATGAATATACCAGATTTAACTTTCCTGCCATAACACGTTACTTTAATACTTCAAACAATTCAAATAATACTTCAATTGCTAACGTAGAGCTATATACAAACTTCATCAAGGCTGCATGGCTGTGCATGACTACTGCTAAGCTAAAGGCACTCTCTTGTTGGCGTGATGAATTTGAGAGGTTTATTCAGGCACCATTTAGCAACCGTGAACTGATTTCAGACTTCTAACAACAAACATGTTCAAAAAAACATTGACTTCCAGACGAGGGATTAATGCAGCACTTTCAGCTAGCCCAAAGAACAAAAACAAATATTCTCTCATCAGAAATATTTGATATGCTTTACATAATTGCTGCTTTCAAAGTTCAAGTCTCTTTTACAACATTTTCTTGGATTGATTTTTTTTTTTTTTCTGATCACCTCTGCCGCCAATTTAAATGTATACATGGCAGTGCTAGCTAATAAGATATTTTTTCTGCAGGCATTGATACATCTAGATCTAGTTGCGTTTTAAGGACACTGAAGTTCAAAGTTGTGAACAATTAAACTACTTCATTTGTTATCTTTGTGGACTGAACTTTCAGCTATGTTATAGGAACATATTGATGTAGGTTTATTTTATTTCTGATTTAGGAGTCAGAAGCTAACTGTGACGGTAATAGAGCATAAGGGCTTGATTACTTTACAATGTATATGCTTTTAAAGTGTAGGTACAATGTTTTTGAGGGGGGCTTCTGGCTCTGAATGATGTTGAAATGATTTGTCTCTATTGTGAGCATCAGGGAGACAGTTGAAACCAGACTGCAATCTATTTGGGTGCACCATCATTAAAATCACATCAAAGCATCAGCAAATGACTAAAGCTAGGAAAAAAAGTAAATTTGAGGCATTGTTGTTGTCGATGATCATTCCCTCCATTTAATTCCTCCTGCAACAACCAAACAGGACACCAATTACTGGGATGCCATTTGCACAGAGATGCTTCTCGTAGTGAATTAAAGCTGAATATTAGATACTGAAACACCTTGATATCAGGCATTCAGATAGATGAAAACAAAGAGCGGAATAGTTTTGACTGAGGAACAAACAATTTATGGGCATAGCCTGTAACAAATTAGCTTAGTATTAATAGTGCATTAACTAAACGGCAAGAAGACTGAAAGGCTTGCTAAAAAAAGTACACAACCTTTTCGATGCACTTGAGTATTAGACAGGAAGTATGTTTTTTTTTGTGTGGTATATAATAGACGTCAAAGTATTTATTTGAAACGCGGACACATGGGTGAAGAATTGCGTGTATAAATGACCAGATTCAACCAATAAAAGACTATTATGGAAATAATGAGCTTTGGGGATAAAAGTAAATCTCACCCAATAAGCATAGCGACACATTTCACCAAATGTTCAACCAAAAAAGGAAACGTAATTGCAAGAACTCAAACACCATGGACGAAGGTACGTTTTAACAGTTTGTTTTTTCGTTCTAATTGAAAAAAAAAAAAAGCAGAAACGGGTCTTTTTTTTGTTTTTCAATTTTGCCCCAAAATGAAAAAACGGAAATTCAGCTCGTTTTTTCGTTTTTCTGTTCTTACTGTTAAAACAAGTATACCACTCAATGTTTCGTTTCCATAAGTGGGTGTGTCTCCAGCGCCTCCTTGCTTCTGATTGGCTAGGGTGCCCTATGCTTGCGTTGTACTCTTCAAAATAAAGGTTCTACGTCTTTGCCTTTAGACTGCGTTACAAATATACGTATATTATTATATTCATACGTACAAGTCTGTCCGTATGTCTGTCTTTCTATGTATATGTCTGTCTTTCTGTAACTATATTTTAGAGTTTAAAGCGTAGCCACTTTTACTCCACTACATGTATTTAAAACCTTTAGTAACTTTACAGATTTGGATTAATTATGTGAAATATAATCAAGTGTTAAATCAGACTTTAGTTCCACCTGGAGTAAATTCTCAAGCTACCCTGCAGTATACAAAGTCATTCAAACTAGCTGCACCTTTACCAGCTTTGAGAACACTTTCATGATCAATCATTATAAAACATATCATAATATGATATGTTTTTATGTTATGTTTTATGTTATGTTTATATGTTTTTTTTTTTTTCAAAAAGTGTTTTCTATATATTATTCTGAAATGGACCAATCTGCACAATGACTACTTTTACTGTCGCTACTTTCACTATATTTAGATGATAATACTTTACTACTTTCACTTGAGGAACATTTCGAATACAGGACTTTTACTGTAACAGAGTATTCCTACACTCTGGTACTATTACTTTACTCAAGTACAAGATCTGAGTACTTCTACTTTTACTCAAGTACAAGATCTGAGTACTTCTACTTTTACTCAAGTACAAGATCTGAGTACTTCTACTTTTACTCAAGTACAAGATCTGATTACTTCGACAACCTCTGATTAATGGTTGATAAATGTTCTGTTGGTGCGTGGATGATAAAATAATAGTGTTCGATTGTATTCAGCTATTTGCCTGTGTTTAGAAACATAATTAAACATACCATGGACACACATTCAAACAATTTTCCATTTATTAAACATTGCAGATGAACAATTAATAAGGTCATACAGCTAAAGAAAACTAACAACAATAATTTTCTGTTATGATAATATCATGAACCTGGAATTTGAAACACAACCACCTAACAATAAACAATAAACTTAACAATAAAACGACTGAACTGCTGTCCATTTAGGGTAGGGCCCTTTAAACATCCAGTGCTGCAGACAGTCCAGCAACCTGGGTATACACTGGCCCAGATCCCTGCACTTAAGGCATTGGGGAGATGTTTATCCTCCACTCCTCCACACAGAGCCTGCATCCACGATGCTTCGGGCAGCAGGAGGAAAACATGGGTCCTTAGTCATTGTGTCTTTAAAAAAGAAAAAAGACAGGTTTTGAAAGATATGCTGATAGTTACTGATTGATGTTCATGGACCTGTATATTCTGAAGCATGCATCAAACTGAGAAAGATGCTGTTCAGAAATAGATTTGAAAAGATTCACTTAGAATAATTATGAAAATCCGGCACCTATACGTTTTAATTTTTTAAATACTGTTTGTTACCACTGAGCATTATTCACAGAGAGGATGAAAACAATACCTCTGCAGATCAAACAGCTAAAATGCCTGTTTGACTTCTGGCCCTTGGTGTCCAAGTCCTGGCTGGCGCCACTATGTCAGAAATCTTCCTGGTGACTTCTTCCAGCCTTGGGATTGCATCCAGCAGTTCCCCACCTGTTGCTCAGTGTGTGGACTTCAGATAGACTCATTTCTGTTTGTCACCCCCCCCCCCCTCATTTGAAAATAGTTTAAGTATTAGCAGGTCATTTAAGCATTTCTCTTTCTTCATTTTATTAGAGATTAAAAGAAAGTTACTTATATTCCATGGCAAATTAGATGATGCTAAATAAAACAGGAGCATTTGGAAAATTTCATTTCTTGAAATTACATTTAAAGAATATTGTTTATAAATGCTGATTGTTAGAACGGAATGTCTGACTTTGACTTTCATACCATGTGCTGACCACAGAGTACTGAGGTGTGCTACAGTTGAAGCCATGCTTATGCATGGTCTGCCCCAATGGAAAGTATATAGGCCCTTGAGCTACAAAAAAATGCTAAATGGCCAGGAAAGCACCTTTTTCAATAATAATTTCCATCCTGTTGTTAGCGATAAAATAAAGTGAAATGCCTGCAATGTGACCCTTCAGTTGATGCTAGCCCTTCTTTACCACATGACATTTATTATCCCACCTTGATAGACAGTTCAAAACTTCTCCAGACAAAATCAGTTTTATTATTCAACCACACCTGCTTCTTGAGCCTCTTCGTGACGCCATTGCGCTGAAGCAGAGCTTCTCAACAGCATGGATCTTTCTTTGCATTCGGTCTTCCAGTACAAAGCACCCTTTATGAGAGAAATAAAGAGTAAAGGTATACGTGAAAATAAAATGTTAAAATGGGCACATGTTGACTGATAGCACTTTCAGACTCCTTATCTTTGCACAAATGAAAATGAAATATAGAATAATTATATTTTACCAA